GTCGATGGGTAGCATTGGGATGGTTTGTAGCCTTGTTGCAAATTTTTATTCAGCATTATCTAGATATCTCTTACCTTATCGATTTTTTTTGCGTTCTTCACGGGTATTTTCGTTTCTTATAATTCTTAGCATAGTCTTAAAACCATCACATTTCCCGATTTCTTTATTCCATCGGCCATTGTTAAAAACTTAAAAAGTTACGTCCAGCCCATTTCCATTTCAGTTTAGCTGCGTGTTCGACAGCATCTTTTAAATGACTTATGGTTAAATATGTCAATTTTCATGATTTTTGTTGATAAATTGCTAATATGTTTTCTGACGTATATGTTTCTGATGTCTGTGACAAGTTAAAACTCATTTGTGCCCATTTTGTTTTGTAGTTTAGCTGTATTTCGTGTTTATTGTTTTTCTTTGTCAAACTGTTATATTTTGCTATCTAATTATTATCTATCTTTTATTTATCTGTCTTTAATCTGTACTTTTTTACCATCTATATCCTTATCCACCCCAAACGAAGCTTCCTGACTTGAGCAACGTGGTCTTCATTAAGTAATGGTGAACGAGAAGCTTTTTGTTATCTACTTTTGTCAGCTTTTGCGCCACAAACCGAATCGATTTCGTCAGCCAATTTTAGTAGTTCAGTGGACGTTAATCTGTAAAAAACGTAACAATATGTTAATAACGTGTTTCATTATTTACCGTCAATTTTTATACAACAATATTATCAAGAAAGAATATGAGGAGTCAGGGGGGAAAACAATCTGAGTCCACAAAAACAGTTTTCAAGGAAATCGAAATTTATGTTTCAAATTAAAACAAATTGTTGTAACTCAACCGTATAAATCGGTAAATTGTTTCAGTGGTACGTTGACACGTTTACAAAGGAAAAAAGAAAAAACAAAAAATATTTTATTTGCGAAACATCATACAAAAAATTGAGTGTGCCAGCATGGGCCATGATCGTTTTTCCTCAGTATCTTCAACTTTCTGCGTCACAAAACGTTTCTTCCCCGGAACTTTCCTCCTGTTCAGTACTTTGTGTATCAATGTAGAACTTTCTAGAGTTTACCGTTTTCCAAATATTTGGTCAAGTGAAGAAGATCTTGTAACTTAGCAGTTATGACCGGAAGTGGGCCGTTGTACAAAGCTTCGGGATGATTGTAGCTAGTAACTTCCGTAGTTATGATATTATGAGCATTCCTTAAATTTCTTTTCGGATTTCGTTTAACTTTGCATTCAAACAGCGAGCTTACAAATAACCCAGAATAGGTATTCTTGTGAAAGATAAATTGAGGGTTATTTTTCCTGATTTCCAACACTTGATTAAGGTCTCGTAGGCATTGGGTATTTCTTTGGATACTTGTTGGAGAAAAGAGTAGTCCAATTCAGAAATTTAATATCTTTCCCACAGTTCACCACTTGGTTTAGGTTACACTTTGCTGTTTCGATTACACTTTTAAACCATCCGGAGTTTCCGTATAAGCTTTGTCATTAATTAAACTCATGTTCCGGTCACACTTTAGATAGGAATGTCCTCTGACGGGAAAAATTGCTTTCACAAACTCAAACCGTCCTTCTGTCTGAACCAGATAATACTACTACTATCGGTTTACAGCCTTCTCCGACGCCTTCCGACTCCTAACCGCCATTCTTCTCTATTCAACCATAGGTCTGAAGGGATTTCTCTTTCCTCTAGTTCTTTTTCAATTCCCTCTCTCCAGCTTCTTCTCGGTCTTCCTCTTTTCCTTCTCCCTTGTGGTGTCCACGTCAAAATCTGTTTTGGAATCCTGTCATGTGGCATTCTCTGTACATGGCCGTACCATATTAACTGTTTTTATGTCATCAACTATTGTATGCTTGACTCCCATCATTTCTCGTATTCTCTCATTTGGTATCCGATCTCTTCTTGATTTGCCTGCTGCTCTACGCCAGAAGTCCATTTCTGTTGCTAGTAACAGTTTCTCCGTTCTTTGTTTCATTGGCCAAACTTCACTGCCATATGTGATTACACTATTAAGTATGGTGTTGTATATGAGTTGTTTGTTCGCTTTAGATATTGTTTGGTCCCACAAAATGCCGTTCATCATGGATATGGCTTTTCTACTCTGTATGTTTCTGTCTTTTATAGCAGCATCGAGTGTTCCATCTTGAGTTATCTTCATACCCAAGTATAATCCGACAAGCGAGAGCTGGCGGGTGACCTGTTTGAAAATAGAAAAGGAATTATTCTAAGAGAGATAGGAGAGGTACTTAATCGCGATTATAGGTATATAGTATAGTTACTTAAACGGTTATACACGATGTACACGATGTACATGACTTAAACGGTGAACACTTTTCAATTTCTTCTACGCGCAACCCGCCAGCTCTCGCTTGTCGGGTTATACTTGTATTCGTCACAGTTTCTAAATTCTACCCCATCGTCTAATATAATGGATTGTTTTGTCCCTCCAATACACATGGTTTCAGTTTTCTTAATGTTGACTTCGAGACCCCATTTGTTATATTCTTGTATTAACTTTCGAGTCATGTAACTCAAGTCGTCATGATCCTGGGCAATCAGTATTTGGTCATCAGCGAAACATAAGGTGTACAGTGAAGTCTCGTCATTGAGAGGGATTCTCATGCCATTACATTTTCTTTTCCATAGCTTGAGTGCTTGTTCCAGATAAATTTTGAAAAGGGTAGGCGAAATACAGCAACCCTGCTTTAGTCCTTTCGTGACCTTAAATCCTTCAGATATCCTTGATCCAGTTTTAATTTTTGCAGTCGTTCCATTATACAGACTTTGGACTGCTTTGATAAGACCATGCTTAATGTTGGTTTGCTGTAGGGTTGACCATAGTTTATTTAGGGGTACACTGTCATATGCTTTTTGTAAGTCTGAACTAGATAATAAAGGAACCAAAAAACTGTGTAATTTTTATTTTGCCCTCCACAACAGTCGCAAAATATTATTAAATTTTGAACCTGAGATGCTAGTACGTTATACACAAAGTGATGAATCATCGAACACACATCGTCAACCCCCTTTTTTGCTACCGATTCGTCATAAGTGTAGAAAATATAGGTAGAATCGTCCAATCATCATCATCATCAGTGGCGTTACAGCTCTTTATGAGCCAAAGCCTTCTTCAGAACAATCCTCCATTCGCCCCTGTCTCTGGCAACTCTTCTTCATGCTCTAATTCCGATAGACTTCAAATCATTTTCTAGGTTGTCTTGGTTCCTAAGTCTCGGTCTTCCTCTTCTTCGTTGTCCGATCGGCCCTCTTCGGTCCAAAACTTTTCTGACTATGGCATCTTCCTCTCGTGCATCAGGAGCAGAATCGGCCAATACATGTACATTAAACCTTATAAAATTAAATTGCACTTTACATTAGAGATCGTTTGAGGTCACATTAGGAGTAAATTTTTTTGGAAGTCTATGGTTATGGCTTCGGTATCGATTGTTTTTGACGACACTTTTTGATATTTTCTTTTCACAGAACAAAATTTTTCACTTCTCGCAAGATGAAGTTGTTTCTCGTTTTTTTTTTCTTGTAATTTCTTCAAGATTTGGATTTTATATTCATCACTGCTGGCATCTAATTTCTGTAAAACGGCAGATATTTCCGCTTTTATAATGTCACTGTAGAATGTGTCTTTCTAAAAAACCGAATGCAATATTAAACTGCGTTTCAAAAATTTCGCCAAACTTGTCATCTTAGTTATGTTAAGTTCTTCAGGGAGACAAGTTTTCTTATTTTTTTCTTCAGGAGTAATGCGATTTTCTTCCTTTCAAGGAACCAATAAATTCTGTCACTTTGACGATATTATCTTTGCTCAGTTATTCTCAAATTATTTGCGTTCGGAAAGCAGAAATTACATGAATTGATAAGAATGCTTTGAAACATACTTGAATATCACCAAAGCCTCCATCAGGGACACGTATAACACAATAGGAATAAGAAGCAAGAATAGGTGTCAGTATACCCACTTGAATTAGTATACCCACAAATCGTCATAGTTAGCAATTTCACTAAGCTGAGTCAAAAAGCGTTACCTTTCGGCTTCATTGACGTTCCCAAAACAACGAAAATGGTGACACTTGCAATTTGGCCCTAGCTCATAAGTGGTGGCTCTCAGAAGTTTCATAACGTCACGAACACGGAGTGTTTTTCTTCTTTTTTCTAGTAGCAGTCTTCACATCTTCACAACGAAGTCGCTAAACTAAGAAAGAGAATCACAGAAATTCTGCACCCAGCCTGACCTGTTTAGATAGAGAGGGAGCGCCTTCGGACCGTGACGGCGATTCCCTCACAGCGCGCGGACTATGATGGTTATTCCCCAGTACAAGGTGTCATGTAACATTTCTAACAAAAGGACTGTTTTTTTTGTTTTGGGAAATTTTTACTGGGCACGATCGCTTTATTTCAATTTTCGTAGCTCACTATTCTCTCTCCCTTACATTATCTGATATGCATATTTGTTTATATTGTCGACTTGTTCAATCAATCAATAATCGAATTGTTTCTTATGTTGTTGATTCATGTATTAAGTTTAGTTTTTTTTTACTTTCCATATAATACGTCCCTGAAAAAGTCACCTCCTACCAATTTTTAACCCGAAAAAAATTGCATAACGAATATATTATGACCACCACATGTACATACAATAAAATAATCATTATTATTATAATTTCAATTGAATTAATTGCACAATAGCACCGAATTCAAACACTCAAGAGCCGGCTAACCCTTTTGGAATGTTTGACACGTCGTGTCAGTGACAAAATGTAGTTTGATAAAACTTATTCTAAATACCAAGATCTCTTTCGTGTTGACATTGTGTTAAAATTAAAACAAACTTACGTTTCGATGAAGAATTCGTAAAATTGTGTGCGTGGATTTAAAATTTGAGTTTCAAATTAGTGACTGTTAAAAAATTACCGTTAATCAAAAAAAGGTGTTTTGGTGACTTTTGCTGCAACGGTGTATTTGTGATGTTTAGTACGGAATCATGTGGAATAAATTGGATACAGTTTTTTTATGGATTTTAACGGGTACTATAAGTAAGTAAATTAGACACTTAGCTATATATTTTGTTATTGAATTACTGGCCGGATTTATGATAAGAGAAATAATAAAAATCCTTCTTAATAAAAATACAAGAGATTTTGTTACAGAAATAACTTTTCTCTAATTCAATATTCCTTTTGCGTTACTGGAACGTCTTAATCATCATCAATTAGCCTATATTTGTCCACTGCTGAACGTAAGCCTCCCGTAAAATTTTCCGCCTATTTCTATCTTGAGCTTCTTGTATCCAGTTTGTGGTGATACGCTTGATGTCATCCGTCCATCTAGTCGGTGGTCGTCCTCTGCTTCGATATGCATCTTGCCTTGGTCGCCATTCCAGAATCTTTCTGGTCCATCTATCATCTGTTAATCTGGCAACATGTCCGGTCCAAGCCCATTTAGCCCTGGCTATTTTTTCAACTGCATCTGTGACTCCTGTTTTTCTTCTTATTTCTAGGTTTGGTACTTTATCTCTGATGGTAACACCTAGTATTGATCTTTTCATAGCACGTTGTGTAACTCTTATTTTATCTATTGTTCTTTTTGTCAGAGTCAGTGTTTCTGCACCATATGTAAAAACCGGTAAAACGCACTGGTTAAAAACCTTTCTTTTTAAACAAACTGGGATACTAGACTTGAAAATGTTATTTAATCTACCAAAGGCAGCCCATGTGAGATCTATCCTTCTTTGTATTAAAGTTGTCTGATTATCTCGGCCTAAGCGAATCTTATGGGCTAGATATTTGTAAGCTATTACTTGGTCGATGCTATGGCTCTCAATCAGAAGTGTTAATTTTAAGACCAATTGTTTTTGACACTTTATAGAGCGTGTGCAGCATTTTTGTAGCTTTATCAACTTTATCAAATATTAAAACGATGTCATCAGCAAATCTTAGGTGGTTCAGATCTTCCCCATTTATATTAATTCCCATAATATGCTCTCGATCCATTTGCTTGAACGTATATTCAAGAACGATTTAGGGGATATAGTATCACCCTGTCTAATTCCACGTTCTATTCGAAACTTCTTGGTATCTTCATGAAGGCGGACACAAGCTGTACCAGTTTCGTAAATACTTTTAATTAAGGCGATATATCGGTAGTCAATGCGGCATTCAGCCAATGCTCGAAGCATTTAGGTCTGAAATGTCACCTTTTTTGTGCATTATGGTTATTAATGCATTATGCCACTGGGAGGGGGTTACGCCTCGTCAAACAAGCATTGAACATCTTTTTCAACACATTTAGTAACGTCACTCCTCCTTTGATTTGTTCAATGACTATCCCATCTTCTCCAGGTGATTTATTGTTTTTCATCTCCGAGAGAGCTGATTTTATTTACTCTGTGATATCTGGGATGTCTTCTGAGCCTACATTTTGAACTTTTGGTATTTGAGTTTGATCAGGATCTGGAAGTTCTTCTCGCTTATACAATTCTGAGTAAAAATCTTGAGCAATTTTTAAAATATCTTCCTTATTTGTTGTAGTTTCTCCTTTTTCATTTACAAGTTTACAAATATTTTTCGATCCTTCAGTCATTTGTCGGCGCAGAACCTTTAAACTTTTATTTTTATCAATGGCTTGAGCTATGCATTCAGTGTTGTAATTTCTGACATCTTTTCGAATGGATTTTGTTATATGTTTGTTTGACGTCTAAGTGTTACAAAATTATCTGTGTATTTGTCTTTCAATTCTCTTCTTTTCTTTATAAGATCTTCTTCTTAGAGTGCCATATCCCTACGGAACGTCGGCGACTATCATGCTTATAATATTATTATACTGATCTCGGTCTTGCGCTACGTGTAGCAATTGGTCCGCTGTCAAACCTGTCCACTGAAGCAAATTTCTTAACCAAGAGAGTTTCTTCCATCCTATCCATTTCTTTCCTTCGATTTTACCGTTGAGAATTAGCCGAAGGAACTCATATCTTGGTCCTCTGATTATATGTCCAAGATATTCTAGTTTACGCCTCTTAATAATATTTAATAGAGTTCGTTGATGTCCCATTCTTCGAAGAACTTCTTCGTTTCTGGTTCTGCTAGTCCATGGAATTTTTAGTATCCTTCGATACATCCACATTTTGTGCCCAATTTGTGCATTCCATGTCAACTCTTTTGATTAGCTCCTGCAGATCGTCGATGTTTTCAGCTAGAATCACAGTATCGTCGGCGTACCGTATATTGTTAATTATTTCTATAAGTGTATAATATACTTAATAAGTGGGAGATAGTATACAGCCTTGTCTTACGCCACGTTCAATACTGATTGGCTTTGATTCTCTGTTGTTGGTATTAATAATGGCTGTTTGGTTCCAGTAAAGTTTGGCAATAAGTTTGATATCTTTCTCATCTAGTTGGATGCTCTGCAAGGCGGTAATTAGTCTGTTATGCTGAACACGATCAAATGCCTTTTCAAAATCAATGAAGCACATATATACGGGTTTTCTTACCTCCCAACATCGTTGAAGGTATATAATAGGATCTTACGTCTTAATATATTTAGAACGTCTTAATATATTTAGCAAAACAAGATAAAATGCTAGGGCACCTAAATTTTTATTTATACTACCTATGTGTTGTTTGATTTTTAATTATTTTCTGTATAATTTAGTTACTTATTTGCAATCTGCATTTAAAAATTTACGACCATAAGCATATATTGTGTTACAGGATCCACTTGTAAATACAGTACATTTTGGAGACAGCTATCGCCATATTCCCGTTCTCCTACGCCATTCCTCCCGGTCCAAGGCAGGCTCCTCCACCAAACCTCTCGATTCCATTGCTCTTCTAATTCCTTCATTCCAGGATCGTCGAGGTCTACCTCTTTTTCTTCTTCCATGGGGCTTCCAGGTGAAGCTTTTGGGGCCATCGTTGGTCAGGCATTCTCAATAGGTGTCCAAAACATTTTAAATCTCTTCGTTCTATTCTGTCAATGACCGTTTCTGTAGCATTCAAGTTAGTTCTTATAGATTCGTTGGTCTTCCTTTCCAGCCTTGATGTTCTAACACTTCTTCTCAAATAATTTGTTTTAATTGCCAACAATCTTCTCTTCAGATCTGCATCAATTGTCCATACTTCAGAGCAATAACAAAGAATTGATTCAGTGATGGTTTGCCCTATTCTTTTTTGGTTCTTTTGTAAATGTTGCGATTCCACTATGAGGAGTTCAGATCTCCTACAATTTTACGTCCCTGATTAATTCGGTGTTTAATTTATGTTTCTCTCAAGCTGTTCTTATCAATGAGTGCACCTAAATATTTAAATTTTGCCACTTGTTTGATTTCCACGTCCTCGTCTATCAACACTTGAAACCTTGCATCTGAATTAATAACTAAATATTCTATTTTGTTAATGCTAACTTACCCCCATTTTACATATTCTCTGTATAGACGCTTCATTTTAAATTTTAGGTCATAAGAATCTTAAACTAGGACGACTTAGTCATGCGCAAAGTTCAGGGAGAACAGTACGCCATTTCCTATGGGGATTCCCATTTCCTGGCAGTGGTTTTTCCAATTTTGGAAGGCTGCCTTAATATATAAATTAAACAGTAAGGGTGACATACTGCTTCCTTGTCTTAGTCTTTTAGTTACTTTTATTGGATCTGATAGTCTATTTCCGCTTTTTAGATAAACAGTGTTATCCCTGTATACTTCTCTGATGATTCTTAAAAGGTATGGAGTAATTCCGAGTTGTAAAGCTTGCCACAATTTAAGTCTTGGGACTGTATCATACGCCTTTTCTAGGTCGATAAATGCTAGATGTACTTCGGTACCAACCGCTATTCTTTTTTCTATTAATTGTTGGAGTATAAACAAGTTATCAGTGCAAGATCTACCAGGCGTAAATCCACTTTGGTCTTCGCTAATTAAATGTCCCACACCATCTTGTATTTTTCCAAACAATCTCCCAAAAGTAGTTAGGACACTTAATGTCCTGTAGCAGTTTAGATTTTGTCGAATACCCTTTTTAAAGATGGACACTTGGTGAGCGGTTTTTCATTCAGATGGTACTTAATTTGTTGGCAGCACTGATCCATTAGAAAAGTTATTCCTATTAGGAGTGGACCTAAATTTGTTTGTAAATTATTATTAGTTTAAATAATGACTTAAATTTACTGAAAATGGAAAGTAAAGAAAACTGACAAAAGGAAAAAATGAAACGTGGAACCAAAAATGTTAAGAAATAAACAGATTTATGGGTGGAACTTGAGAATCTGAACTGAACCACAGAAGTTTATAAGAAATCTCAAAGAAACGGGGAGATTAAACATCATAAGGATGTCAGACTGAATGATTTTTACAAATCTCTATTGACGAAAGCAAGACCACATTGCGAAATAAATCACAGAGACTTCAGAACCGACCCAATAGATGAAGACGATGTACAACCCATCAATGTGGACGAGATAAGACGAAACTTAACGGAAATAAAAAACGGGAAAGTCAAAGGACCTGGAAATATACCCATTGAATAAATAAAATTCGGACCGACAATACTAATAGAATTGATATAAGGTTGAATGCTCGAATAAATGAACTTTAATAAAATGAAAGGCAGATATCGAGCACAATTTAATTGATCAAATCCTGCCCAAGTACTTTCGCTGTTTAAAGCATCATCAGGGGAATTTCGTCAATTTTGGGCTATCCAACAAGCGCAGAATGTAATAAACATGAAATTAAACATAAAATTGTACATAACACTACACTAAAAAAGGACAAACAGTTTAAAATTATTTAAAAATTAATCGAAGCTACATTCTTGTCGGCAAGAGGAGAGAGAATGTTGCTCTCTCCTGTTGCCCAAAGAAAGTTTTTACTTCCTGTTCTGAAAAACTTTAAAAAATGATATTTACTCAAAAACTATATTAGCAAGAGCAATTTTGATAATGGATTCACACATGTATATAAAAAATTCAATCAAGTGATACGTACCAATCTTATTTTATATAAACATATTTGATTTCAGACGGTGAATCTTTATTTATTGGCTTTATGTTGGGAGAGCTACTTATTTCGATTAATAAACTTTTACTTCTTCTTATTTTAGTTTTTTTGTAGGTAGTATAGTGTAAATTATCTTAATTATATCCATTATTAGATTACTACATAAACATACATACATACTACATTTTCCATCTTCGTAAAAAGTTAAATACCTTGAATGCGGACTGTAATATAGTAGTAATAATTCGTTTTGCATATTTGGATTAGACTTGACATAGAAATGAATACGTATTGATATTCAATGTCACGTGCTACGTGTGTGTGCATCCTTTTTATTATTTTCTACACGTATTTTCTCACCTTAAGATTTCCATTTGAAACAGGGCCATTAGACCATTTATAAAAATTCTAGAGCAAAGTTATTAAAATTATGTTAAGTTATTTTTATTTTCGGTTATATTATTTTTCTTCGTGGACAGAAGTTGTATATCCTCCTCTAAGTTTGCCTTCGGAAACCTAATCGCCATTCGGTGTCGGAAGAAACAAGGGTTAGCCAAGAGAGGCTGATAGGAAAGATTAAAGACATTTCACTCAAGGCAAGTTGAAAAAGAGTAAAATGTGAAGGCCCTTATGATCCGCCAGGTGCGTTTCATAAGCGTATGAGTATTAATTCACTTTGTGTTCCCGCTCATACCTCGGGGTGTTGACTACAGACTTTATGGCTCGTCCAGCATGCCATAGCATGAAGAATAGTGTGCACACCATTTTTACAAAGTTGACACCCCACTCCATGGCCTGACATATTAAGTCAATACCTTCATCCCTAAACCAAAATAGGTTAAATTTTTGAAATGTATTTTTATCTTCTGTTTAACGGTTTTGGGTAATCTTTCCAGTAACGTTAGTGTTTAATATTTTTATAATAAAATTCGCTATCATCTCTAGCATTTATAACTACACTAGTGTATTCATTTTTTATTTGTCTATGATATTCTTATTCTGTTATATCTTTTACAGATGGTCTTTATGCATTGAAGCTAGACTTTGGCAACTGTCCCATATACTTCGAAGAACCATGCAGTCCTTACGCTACAAAGTTCATCCTATCCATAGGTAAAGGTGAAAATGTAACTTATCATGATCTGGATCCTTACACACCATTAATTCCTAAAGAATTCAACCATCTTTTGCCATTTAAAGTTGTTATTCACGGTTATGGAGGACTAACCGTAGACACTGCCATCACGAATGTCACAGTAGCTTATCAAAGCGTTGGATACAATGTTCTTATAGGTAGGTTCTACTTTTTAAAAATGTTTTAAAAATCTAACTTTATACGACTGTGGTGTTTTATTTATTTATATTAGTATATTCTATCTATTCTATCTATCTATCTACACCATAATCAATTGGTTAATCACCAAGCAATCGTGCCGTAATCCATCACACGCTGAGATTTCTGTTGTGGCTACTGCGTTTCCTAATCCTACGGTAAAACACTATAGTCACTATAGTGGACAGACTATACATTGTATAGATATATTGGGAAATGTGTTTTGTTGGCGACGCTAGTTCATTCCAAGTCGTGGGAACAAAATGAATACTAGACAAAAAGAAATTGTCCAGATGAGAATTCATAAATAAGTGACAGTCATTGACTGGGGTATGCTAACTCTAAATGAGAGTCCACAAATCAAAATATAAAGGGACGAGAAAAGAAGCGGCCTTAACCCAATAAGTGGCCTATAAGCGAAAATTCAGCACAGTAAGGGGCTTCATTAAGATCATTTTCTAGTTGGAACAAGAATTTGGGCTATAATATCAAATGCGAAGAAGGAGAGAAGTACCAAAACAAGGCGCCTTAATACTCCTCAAAAATCCGCAAACGGTAGAAAGGTTTCAAAACTATATCGAAACTAAATACATATCTAAAGAGAATCTAACAATTAGTAAACAATGGGAAATGTGTAAAAATTATATTAAAGACGCAGCAAATAACATTCTAGGGCCGCAAGACCACCACCACGTAATGAGTGGTTCGATGCTGAGTGCGAGGACATTACAAGAAGAAAGAACAATGCATATAAACTGATGCAGCAACAAAGAAGAGAAAAAGAACAAAAATATAAAGATCTCAGAGGAGAAGAGAAGTACATCCATCGAAGAAAAAAACGAACTTATGAAAATAGGATATTGGAGGAACTTGAGGCATTAAAAAAGGAAAATCAAACCAAAAAATTCTATAAAATCTCAGTAATGTAAGAAAATAATTTAAACCAAGGATCGGACTATATAAGGATAAGGAGGGGCATATACTCAATACAAAAGAAGAAGTATTAAAAAGATTTGGATCTTCTACTATCAAAGTAGAAGATCCAAATCAACCACCTCCAGGAGCAAGCAACAATACACCATTAGAGCCTCTATCAATTCAAGAAGTACGGGATGCAATAAAACACCTAAAAAATAATAAATCTCAAAGAAGTGACAGTATACGCGAATATCAAAGTAGTTTTAAGCGTGGTCAATCAACAACAGACCAGATATTTGTGCTAAGGCAAATACTGGAAAACCAATAAATTCAATATCGAGACATGCCATCTTTTCGTAGATTTTAAATCGGATTATGATAGTGTCCTAAGAAATAAATTGTATGCAGCCATGGATGAATTTCACATCCCTCCCCGATAAACTGATAAGATTGGTTAAGGCTACAATGCGTAAAGTTGTTTGCAAAGTCGAAATACAGAACGAACAATCACATTCATTTGAAACGCATGTTTGGCTGTGACAGAAAGATGCGCTGGCGTGTCTCCTTTTCAGCATGGAAAAGGCTCTGGAAAAAGCGGTCAGGGATGCCCAAATAGACAACAGAGAAGAGAAAACATTTTTAATAAATCATCCCAATTTTTGGCATATGCAGATGATGTTGACCTAGTTGCCCGCACAACACGTAAGCTAGAAGAAATGTATAACACCGTGTCAAATGCCTCAAAAATATGGGCCTGCAAGTAAATGAGGAGAAAACTAAGATAATGGCATCAACACCCAATAATAGAGCCAGAAACATCGCCCACCAATTCACGGTTGATAACTCTACCTTTGAAGTGGTGGACAAATTCACATACTTAGGCTCCTGATCACCAAGGAGAACGTCATGACGGAAGAAATCAAGCGAAGAATAATCCTAGCAAACAAATGCTATTTTGGATTGAGTAGACATATGAGAAGCAGAAACTTAAGCCAAAAACAAAAATATCCATATACAAAACCCTTATACAACCAGTATTGACATATGGATCGGAGACATGAACCATCTCCAAGGCAGATGAAAACCTCCTGCTTATATTTGCACGAAGGATCCTGAAAAAATATTCGGTGGCATCTGTGAAAATGGTGTTTGGAGAAGGAGGTACCACTACGAGATATATCACAGATATAAACATATATTTGGTGTTAAAGACGTAGTATCTCTTACAAAAATAGGAAGACTAAGATGGGCAGGACATCTGGCAAGATCACAGTATAACAACCCTCCTAGAAGAATCCTTATGTCACAACCTGTGGGAAGTAGAAGTAGGGGTAGGCCAAAACTCAAATGGAGGGATGATGTAGATGAGGATGGTAGAAAAACAGGTGCAGCAAACTGGCAACAATTGACAATGGATAGAACTGACTATCGTAATAGACTTGGGAAGGTCGAGGCTCTTTTATAGGGCTGTAGCACCAATGATGATGAAGGGGCTTTCGCAGAACGTACTCTAACTGTGAAAAAGTTATGTCACGATTATATATATATAAGTCCTGTTTATATCAAAATACATATAAAAGTATGTTTTGTCGGAGTTTAATGATTGAACAGGATTTGGCAGAAAGGTCTCATGACTAAGTACCACAGAAATATAAGGGTCAAATGTAAAAAAGAAGTAGGAGAAAATTTTGTCCGTGATAAATTATATCGTTTTTGTGCCTAGGCTTTTCTATTGTGTTATTAAATGCTACATCTCAATGCCTTTACCCACAATCAAATGATCTTCACGTAGTGATATTTTTTCAGTGGATTGGGAACCTATTTCTTCCATTCCGTGTTACATCACATCATATTTAAATACGTGGCATGTAGGACAGTGCTTAGCAATTCTTGCCATGAACCTCTTTCCATACGGCATCAGTCCCCTCTTGACGCACATTGTGGGATTCAGTCTGGGAGCTCATATTGCTGGTTTTGCTGGAAACAATATTAAAAATACCATGGGGCTTTCATTTATGAGAATTACAGGTAAGTGTTTTTCGTCGGTGTTTTTATTTACGGCATTTACGGCAATTTTATTAAATTTTTACTATAAATCGAAGAACAAAACAAATGTAGTGTAGTGATTTTTCCATTTAGATAGATAATAATATATTGATAGTATACAGTATTGAAACCAAATATCTCTAAAAAAATTCATAAACTATATGAAATTTAATTTTTTATTTAGTTATGTTTCTTTTATTGTTGACTGGAAAGATTCGAACGTAGTTGTGAGGTTCGAATCATTTTATTATGCCCCTTTGTCCGCTTCTTGTCGATCGACGATGATAAATATAATAAAAGGTTGAAGTTATGCAGAAAAATGTTGATTTATTGACAGCTACTAGTATTTTCACAATATTATGTTGGTTAGGTAACTACTTATAAACTGTGCTTACATGAGCTCAAATCCCCAATTTATAATCTCACAAATAATTCATACCTCAGCACAGAGGTTTTGCTTCTATCATACCATACCAACAAACTTTGAACTATTAGCTATTAGTTATTTAGTTTATTAATTTATTAGCTATATTATTAGTTTAGTTAGTTACAATTTAATCTAGGCCGTAATTGCGACACTTAAGAAGTTCAATTAGAAAATATATTATTTGACAATTTATTTAGTTGAAGGTAAATAAACTAATTATTAAAATATTATACGATATGGTTTTACAATGGCTCACTTATATGTGGTGAAACTAAAAGATAAAGAAGTTAAGAATAATTTGAGATTATAAATTAAGGGATTATGACTTTATAGCATATTTGTAGGTATAACATACAGGGTGAGTTTTATTGCGATACTGGTTGAGAATTTCATTATGGTATATAATGTTCAAAAAGTACCTATTGGAGAGAAAATGTAGGCAATGATGTTCTCTAGACTTGAAAAAAAAATCCGAATTCTACTGGGCGCTTAATAACTAAATATGACTTTGACACTTCTATACAGAGTATTTAACGAGTTAGGACCATTTTTATATTGCTATCGCTATGAAATAAACACCCAGTACATAAAGAAAAAATACGTAAATAATTATTTATTTTACATAATAAAAAAATAAATAAAAAGGTAAAGAAAATAAAATAAAATCAGAAGACACAGTTATTACCGAACAAAAGAAAAAAAGCCAAGGTAACGAAGACATAGGAGGTTTTATATATCTACAGTGGAGTTGAGAAAGACAAGAGATCACAAGCAGGGGTATCCTTATATCCACAACCAGTATTATTTATTTATTTATTTATTTATTTATAAGGGTATTAATATTAATAGAAAAGACTTAAAAAGAGACCTAAAAAACTGGGAACAAATCAATGAGAGAATTATTTAGAGTAATATTGCGTGAAAAGGACACGATCTCGAGATCATTGGAATATATGATACTGTCTGAATATCCTAAACACACATACAAGTAGAAGACATAAGAGTGTTAAGAGGTGTTATTAATCACCGTGTATAATTCGGTAGATTATCCAAGCCTAGAGAATATCATTGCCTACATTTTTTCTAAATAAATTTTGTAAACATTCTGTACCATAATGCAACTATTATCGACTAATGTAGTACTAAAAACTTACCCTGTATAATATTATGCATATTATGTGTACCTATGGAGTTAAATTCCTAAGCTGAATAAAGAAGAGGCAGGGTTTTTTATAAATAATGAAGAGCGTCGTTATTGATAATCTTTTATTCAGTAATATAAAAGATAGAACTTAATCATTGATGTAAAAATATATTTTAATACAATATATAATACACAATACAAAGTAAGTATAATGAGATAATAAACATTTGAGGTAGAAAAAATATTACATTTACACCTTTATACAAAATAAGTAAGTACAAATTTTTATTTAAATGCGTATTAAAATGTACAATTCTGGAAGAACAATATGATCTTTATAAGCACAAACATAGATATTATATATATATATATATATATATATATATATATATATATATATATATATATATATATACAGGGTGAGTGGGGAGGAACGCACCAAACTTTAAGACTGTATAATATACGTAAAAATAAGTAAAAATAACTCATATGTTGTTATTCGATTTTCATTTGTTTTCGAGTTATAGCGATAATAACACAAAGTTGTAATTTTACTGCTACTTATCACATTGCTGTAACAGGTATCTGTGATTCGTTTAATAATTATTTAACTGTCATAATAGTGTAGTGTCAACGTGATTTAATGCCTATTTGACAGTTTGTATAAAAAAAGTTGTTGCAAAATGCCAAATACTTATTCAAATAGTGATTATGCAAATATGGTGTTTGTTTATGGCTTTTGTAATGGAAACGGTAGAGCTGCTGTTGAAGAATATCGTCAACGGTTTCCAAATCGGAGAACTCCAGATAAAAATGTATTTATTAGAGTTTTCAACAAACTATGCGAGACCGGAAAATCCTAGTTATAAAATAATATCGGAACGTGCTCCCCGACAAAGTTTACAAGAAATACAAAATATTCTGGATTCAGTAGAAGATGATCCAGGGATCAGCTCAAGAAGAATCGGTACTCATTTAGCCATTCCTCAAACGAGAGTAATTAACACACTTCACGAGCAAGGTTTATATCCATACCACCTACAACGTGTACAGCACCTACAACCAGAAGATTATGCCAGCCGTATGCAATTTTGTCGATGGATAAATAATAATCGTCGTGTTATATCCCGCATACTTTTACCGATGAAGCAACATTCACCAGAGACGGTATTAATAATAGCCGCAACTCACATGTATGGTCAGATGAAAATCCACATGCAACAATTGAAGCTAGTTTTCGGCACAAATTTTCGGTAAACGTGTGGTGTGGTGTGATCGACGGTTATTTAATTGGCCCTTTCATATTTGAGAACCGCCTTATAGTAGAGGAGTACTTGAATTTTTTACAGAATGAATTGCCAGGACTCCTACAGAACATTCCACTAAATATCAGAATGCAAATGTATTATCAGCACGATGGAGCTCCTGCACATTTTGCTCGTCAGGTCAGGCAACATTTAAATACAAAATTTCCAAGGCGTTGGATTGGTCGCAATGGTCCTATTAGTTGGCCTCCGAGGTCTCCAGACCTAACACCATTAGACTATTTTTTATGGGCCTGGTTTAGAAATGAAGTTTACAAGGTAAAAGTCGACACTCGCGATGCACTAATTCGACGCATTAAAAATGTTGCAGCCACAATTAGAGCAAACCATGACGCAATCAGAAGAGCAACGTTGAATGTTCATAGACGAAGCAGAAAATGCTTACAGGTCAATGGTGGTATTTTTGAAAATTTATTATAAGAACATTTAACATTAAATTAATGTTAAGTTACAACTTTGTGTTATTATCGCTATAACTCGAAAACAAATGAAAATCGAATAACAACATATGAGTTATTTTTACTTATTTTTACGTATATTATACGGTCTTAAAGTTTGGTGCGTTCCTCCCCACTTACCCTATATAGTATAATAGCTTTGTTAATTTTATTTCTTTAAAAAAACTTATTTGAAGTGGATAAGTTTGTCACTCGTGGCCGATTTCACAAAGCAAAGTTATCTTGTGGTTAAGAGATAACTAGTGGTTACCCTGAAATACACATTTCATAATATAATATCAACGACTTGGGTTGTGGTTAACCTCTAAAAATTTAATCCTAAGTTGTTGGTTTTGTTTTATTTGTCTATGGTTGGTTCAGAGCTTGACCAGGATATCTTAAATTAATTACAAATTCCGTTTTGTTAACGTGGTATAGACACGTAAATTATTAATTAATCAGGTATGAATGACTATAATAATAAGGCACAGAACAAATCGTTTTCAAGAACTAGATCATGAAGATTTTTTTCAGATTCAGATTATATTTTCAATAAAAACATTTGTGATTTTAGAAATGATCCACTTACAAGTATGCAGCAGTAACTCCTCACGCTGAATTTATGTTCAAAGTGTTCATTTGTGCACTATTGGAGATTTTTGTGGAGTAAGTAAAGTAAGAGTAATGCCTGGTTGCACCAACATATCTTAAGCTTAAGACGTGCCTTAGGTGTGCCTTAGGTAGGCCTCAGCTCAGACTGATCGACTGACCACGACCAAAACGTCCGACGGCGATCAACCAAATTTTGTATTTTTATTTTTAAAAATATAAAAAATATTTTAGAATCGAAAATTATGGTGCAACGTAAGTGAGAGTTAAGGCAGCCCTAGCTATAAGCAGAGCTTGGTTAAGCTGGAGCTTAAGATCTATTGGTGCAACCAGGCATAAGAGTCAGTAAAACATAGCAGAGTTCTAAACAGAGTCTTATCTCTCGTTATCTATACCTATCAATTATAAAAACACAATAAACGCTAATAATTCTCCATAAAAAACGTAATATATACTGCGTAATCATTGCCCATAATTTCCTACCAACATAAAAAAAACAAAATCTAAGGTCGTGACCGTAACTGAATCCTGAATCTGTGAATGTGCATATGTCAGTTATTCTATGACAAAACTTTACTCAACCCATCTGGTTAACCACTAATTATGAAACCGGCCGTCAAAGTGTCAACATGATCTTGATAAACATGAAGAAAGGTCCTAAAAGTAGTGCGTAATAAATTTTTTCTTTCGTTCATTATTAAGAAATTCCTAATGGAACTCTTGGTTTCATTTTATAATCAGTCTAATACCATAGAATAAATAACAATCAGAATGCCCACTCTCAGATGCCGCCTTTGAAGTTTGTCAGCACGCGATCGCCATATTTTAGACGGAAACATAGACTCAAATTGAAAAATTTGTGAAAAGCTATGACAGAACTGTAATTTAACTTTTTAGATATTAATAATTTTGTACATTTATAATAATTTATTCTATTCTTCAACTAAAAGTACGAATAAAATAGTGATTATTATGTCTATAGTTGCCGTAAATAAATTAAACCGGGTTAATTTTATGCACACCAGATAAAATGCCACCGAACGCACTGGTTCTGACTAAAACATGGCTGATTCCGTCTGCGCGAACGAGATGCGCGTACTTATTTTTTTCAAGCAGAGTGGGTATTCTGATTGTTTATTATTTTGTGCCAATAGGTAATAACCTTTGTGTAATAAATCACCAAAACTATTACGCAATATTTCATTATTCGACAATTTTAGGAGATTTTTCCTTTCATAATAGTTTTGAGGAATTATTTCCCATTACATACCAGTTTTTCTTTTTCCAAGTTTGTGTTAGTTACACTTTTATAAACAAACATTTTTAGCATATTTTGCGTCACCACTTTTATACTCCAATGCTTAGCTTTTATGCTAAGCTTCAGAATATACTAGGCAAACGGAAACACTAAAAAAACCGGAAGGAATATACGAAACATATGAGTAATACAAAATGTATGTTACAGAATAAATATATAGATATGAAAATTTATACAGGGAAGGCAAATGTGAAACTTGGCTATTACACAAGTACGTTTGATGATGAATTGATGAAATCATCAAAAGTATTAACAAAGGAAGAGGATACAGAACGGGTAACAAAGAAATAAAAAGCAATAATGATAGCCCAAGATGAAGATAATCTACAAAGACTGGTTCACAGATTTAACATAAGAACAAAACAATTTAGTTGCACATATTATTTAGTTTAAATCAAACAATTAATTGAGACTATAAGGCGTTTCGAGGCTTTTATTTTAATAAGATATTCATGACTACATAAAATCAAAAGTATTGTAAGGGTTGAACTGATATTGGACATTACTAAGAGGTAAGTGACGCTTTCAATGAAGGCATATATATAGCGTGTTGTATTGTGTTAATTTCGAATTATAAGACCCGGATATTCTAAGCTGTCTTCTCATGACTTGACATGACTATACAAATTTTGTTTAAATAGATTTTAAACAAATTTGATAGACAAATAGTAAACAAGGATGTCTAATTCCTTAATATTTAGATACTACTTAAGCTGTCAGTTTTGCTTATCCCTCCATTGTCACGCATCGCGAATATCAAAAATTTAAATACAATTATAGAACACAAAAGAAGATATTTTGTTTTTTATTAAATATGTACTCGAAATGATTGTGCGGCAATTAATGGGAGAATAGGAGGGAAGGATAAAAATCACAATTCTGAGTGATAAAAGAGTCAAATGCTACAAAAATATTGGACACAAGTACATGTGGTAAAGTTTTTTTTATACGAATCTTCGCCAAATAACAAAATGCACAAACTTGTAATACAAGAACCAGTGTTTCTATTATCTAACTTAGTCTAGTTATCTAACTTTCCATCATTGAGTCTACTTAAATGGCACATAATAGAGGGAAATGTATATCGGATTGTAATGTGTGACTATCTAGTCTCGTAAGTACTCTTGTTTAGATCAAGGGTCGAGGTAGATGGTGTGATGGAAACACATATTTTGTCCTTCTGTAATAATTAGAATACTATCAAACATGTAAAATATAAAATTTTGCAGTACTAAGCATTTATAAAATACTCAATACCAGTTCCCACCAATTAGCTACATTTCTATAATCTCAAAATTCGTCCTTACATGAATTAATTACTCTGGGACAATGCTTTTTAGCGAAATATAAATACGGTGCATTGGAATCTAATCGTAGCTTTTTCTTTTTGCTGAAATTATTCCACATATGTACAGCATAACTCTTGTTGGTATGCGAAAGGATTGAGTTCAATTTGGATTCATCGAAATAAAAGTGCCAGTCTTCATATCGTACTGGGTAGAAGATTTCAGGCTCGAAAACAGTGAAGCCTCCACAGTCTTTATTTATCATTTTTGAAGCTAGCTCCATTTTTTTCCTATAATGTTTTATGTGGCACAAATTTACCAGCAATCTGAAATATAAAAAGAAATTAAATATTTTTTAGCCCTTATAACAGACAAATAGAGGAAAACAGTAACTACATTCTCATACAGAGAGCATTGACAGTCGTAGTAAGAGCGAATTGTAATATTAACGGTGTTATTCAGTTTAAGGCCATATATTTCACGGATTAATTGCGTTAGGCTTTCACGGCCATCGTCTAACTTATTAAACTGTTTATTCAGGCTGTTCGGCCGTTGTCTTCTGTTGAGATTAGTTCTCGACGTTTCGCCAACACTAGGGGTTGGCATCTTCTGGAGATGTTGATGCTTCGCTTGTAAGCAGAAACTGACGACGCGTTGTACTACGGAGGCAATATTTATAATTCCCACTCGCCTCCCCTCCACTGGTTTCGGCTTGAGGGGGCGTGTCGTTGTTTATAGTAGCTTTTCTATCTCCGTGTTTGGCGGGAAGGGCGTTTGTGGATTTTAATACTGGTATCCATGTTTTGTTGATTTTTAGTCCTTCTTCTATCCTATTGAAATTGTTTGGGTGCTTGTATATTTCCACCGCTTCCCGATATAACCGTGGGTAGTACTGTGAAGTTTTGTCCAGCATCTGTGTTTCTTCAAATAGTATTCGATGTTCCCCAAAGTTCTCCGCTTCCCAAAGCGTGTTCGGCAACGGCAGATTTGTCGATATGTCCTAAACGACAATGGCTTTTATGTTCATTTATCCTGGTGTTGGTGTGTCTTTTTGTGGTTCCCACACACAAAAAGACACACCAACACCAGGATAAATGAACATAAAAGCCATTGTCGTTTAGGACATATCGACAAATCTGCCGTTGCCGAACACGCTTTGGGAAGCGGAGAACATCGAATACTATTTGAAGAAACACAGATGCTGGACAAAACTTCACAGTACTACCCACGGTTATATCGGGAAGCGGTGGAAATATACAAGCACCCAAACAATTTCAATAGGATAGAAGAAGGACTAAAAATCAACAAAACATGGATACCAGTATTAAAATCCACAAACGCCCTTCCCGCCAAACACGGAGATAGAAAAGCTACTATAAACAACGACACGCCCCCTCAAGCCGAAACCAGTGGAGGGGAGGCGAGTGGGAATTATAAATATTGCCTCCGTAGTACAACGCGTCGTCAGTTTCTGCTTACAAGCGAAGCATCAACATCTCCAGAAGATGCCAACCCCTAGTGTTGGCGAAACGTCGAGAACTAATCTCAACAGAAGACAACGGCCGAACAGCCCGAATAAACAGTTTAATAAATTTCACGGATTGTTATAATTTTTTTTGAAAAATTAAGGCAAATATCGAGCACAAATTTAATAATCAAATCTTGCCGAAGTACTTTCGCTTTCCATAAATTGAACATAAATTGTACATAACACTACACTAAAACAAAGACAAACAGTTTTAGTGTAGTGTTATGTACAATTTATGTTCAATGTCATGTTTATTACATTCTGCGCTTGTTGGATAGCCCAAATTTGACGAAATGACCCTGATGATGATGTAGAAAGCGAACTTGGGCAAGATTTGATTATTAAATTTGTGCTCGATATTTGCCTTACTTTTTTAAAGTTCATTTATTCGAGCATTCAACCTTATATCAATTATTATAAAATTATTTCTACGTAGATACGGAAAAGAAGAAGAAATTATAAAGATTGATATATAGAATATGATTCAATTTAAGATATTCCGGCCGATGCCCATACTACAAAGGGCTTGTTCACTCTGCTTTCAGAACCCGAGCACATAACTGGATGTGTCTTTCGGTATTAAACGGATGTCTCTTATAGTTTATCAAAGAGGTTCTTGTATTCTTGGAACGGTGGCGATGGTGTCTAGAATCCACTTAGCGAGGTCTTCTAAGAATCTCAAGGCACGTCTTCTTCAACTTAATAATAGAAGATACCTGCCAACCAGTAGGGAGCTTTTCACATCCTGATGGTTGGCATGCTTACTGGCTTTTGCAAATTTACACAGCATCTATATTTACTTGAATTAATGAGTGACCCAAAGTGTAGACTATAACATGAAGAGGATAAAATGTTCCTTTTTGACCTTTGTCAGTAGTTAGCCCAATTATTGGATCGGCGTTTATCCAGATAAACCAGGTCACTGGCCAAGAGATTAGCTTTAATCTGTCAGTGGCAGCAAGAGTGGGAGGCAACACTGTAACCGTTTTAAAAGTTTTAGAAAATTCATTATAAATTTGATTATTTTTTTTTTAATAAAACTACTAACTCCACCTATCTGCCAGGTGCTTGTATTCGACTCAAGGTTTCTACGGTAATTCTCAACATATCCAATAGATGAGAACGATATTAACTTGTCAATCACGCCACCAATTCAAAACCGTTGAAATAGCGTCGCTTCCTTTCCTGTTACAAACGTCCACCCGATAGGACGTGTTTTAGAAGTGAGTCTCTAGGTTAGAGGTAAGCTACAAAGAAAAGCCTTTTCTTGTCTATATTTCAGATGAAAGATGAATAATTATTTTCAGACTCTTTCCGGGAGGTTAAAGTTCATTGATTATGTTAAGTTAACTGAGACAGTTTCCTATGGTCCAATACTTCCCTATATATGGTTTCCAATAATTACTTATAATATAAATGGATTATTATTAGTAAATATTTTATGAAATAACCAACGGATGAGAAGAAGCAGAGTATATCCCTTTTTTCCTGGTTCCCAGAGATTGGATAAATAAGGTTGTACCTATTTTTTTATTAAGCCCTATCAGGAACGCGAGAATTATTTATGGATTCACAGAGACAAGAATATAGTGAAATATTTTAATTTTGTTTAAAGTTTTGACTTAATATGTTTAGTTCCTAATTAACTACTAAAATGCTTTAAATGTAAACAAATTTCGAAATTTGGGAAAGAAATATAGTTTCATTTATTTTTAATAACCAATTCTTGATTTAATACTATATGAAGTTGTTTTGTTTGCAGTAAAGTCAATATGAAGTAATATGTTAGTATCTTTTGGGAATAATATAATTTTTAATGTTTCTTTTTATTACTGAATTTTAATTTTTTTTACCCTCGTCCCCTGCGAGTTGAAAATATAGGGGTGGCGTCCAATGATAAATTATAATTTCATGTTATCTAATTGTGTTTGAAATTTTGACGTACTACGTAGTTTTTTTGTGCATTTGACCTTACCACACCTTCTCTCCGACATAGAGCTAACCTGACCTTGAATTAAATGTGTGTACTAGATGTTATCAAATATCGACGTTACAACACGTGGCGGAGTGGATGAAGTCACTAATCCCTAACCTTCGAAACTGGGAAGCTAGGACGCAAATGCTCGCAGACCATAGCTACCTTTCCAGGTTTAGGAGGGCACAGTCAGATCAGTGCCTTTACTGTGGTCTCTTGGATCCTCTGAGACATACGATGTTAGAGTGTGTGCATTGTCCGGATAAAAGAGAGAAGTTTGAAAGAGAGTGTAAGTTTGCAGAATGTTTGATTCCGTGAGAGAAATGGTGGAGAAAATCATGAGGAATGAGTCGTGGTGGATACGGATCCACAAATTTATCAGGGAGGTGCTCTTTTTAAAAGAACGAGTTCAGAGGGAACTCACAACAGAATTTTAAAACGAGCGACTAGCACCTTGGTGTGTTTCGAACTGTCGAAGGCTGAAATGGGAGCGAATGAGAGACAGACGACGCGAGAGGGATGGCAACCTCGCTAAGTCAAGGGGTTAAAATTCTTTGGTAGTTCTTGTGTGTGTGTGTGTGTGTGGTTTTCCCGATAAATGTGTAGTAGAAAGAATGGGAATCGGGCAATAGCAGAGAATCAAGAGAGATATTTTACCTTGACCAGCCTTCCATCCTGATATCTGGAGTGACAGAGAAGATCCTAGACTCCCTCGGGCATCTGGTCCTGGCACAACTACGTGAAGGTATTAGGAACCCAACACTACCTGTGTGAGCCACAGGTGTCTGTATGCAGATTTTCCTTCTTCTATTTAAAGATGTAAAAAACAGCTAAACCAAGTCAAAGTAATGTTTAATAAAGTTATGGCTTTCAGCGAGGTCTTTTTAACAGAGTAGATTTCTAGGATAGCGGTAAGGATTTATATCTTGGTGTAGGTCTACTGCATACGAAGACTGATCGGAGCTAGGTCATCTGATGTACAGGGGTTTGATCATCTGATGTACAATGCATCCGAATTAGTGAGTCTAAATATCACAAATATTCAGTAGTAAAACCTATAACTCCGATCAATAAGTCCTGGTCCTAACCATGAGATGGCAATTCTAATGAATTAGAAGTCAAAATATGAAGTGACGCTACTATGATTTTTATAAACAATGGATTCAAAGCAATTTCGTGTGTTGATTCATGACTGTTATTTAATGGAAAAAAGTACCGTCCAAACTAAGTAATGGATCAAAAAGTTACTGGATCCCTGCCTAAACGATTGAAATAATTAAACGATAGTTTGATGAGTTCAAACGCGGACTTACCGATACCAATGTTACTGAGCGCTCTGTAAGGTTAAATGAGGCAGTCTCTTCCGATAACATCAAAGAAACGATGAAAATTATTATGACAAACCTCAAAGTGAAGTTGCAAGAGATAGCTGATACTCTAAAGTTATCAAATGGTAGTGTATTCTTTATTACATACGAACATTTGGCTATGACAAAGCTGTTTTCCCAATGGATTTAATCGAAATAAGTCGGAGTTTTTGCATCGTTATGTCACAATGGATGAAATATGGATCCATCACCTGACTGTGGAATTAAATCCGTAGTCAAACCCGGAGAAAGCAATCCAAAGCGACCAAAGATGCAACAAATCGACAGAAATGTTATTGCCTCTGTATTTTGATAAAGTAAAAATATCTAATTATCAATTAATTTGAATATCAGCGTCTCTCTCGACCGGGTTACAAGCATTCTTTCTTCTATTTAAACGTTTTATGATCATTTTTATTGTTGTATTGTTCTGAAACTTGTGTTCTAGATAAAGAGAAAAACTTTCTCTACAATTTTATTATATGATAAAAATTAACCAGATAACCTAAACTTGCCTGTACTTGCCTGTTATTGTAACAAAAAATAGTTTTTACTAAATTATCCATAATATAAACACTCTTTCTAAATTGTACATTAATATAAAACGAATTATTACCTTGTAATAACTCCTGGTCCATTGTTTCCCCAATCATTTCCATTAAAATTTTTTTTGAGATCATTTAGGCATTTTTCTGCCATTAGGTGGCCTTTACTATCAGGATCAAAACTTATAACACCTGCGGCAACGTCTGTACGAGATTGTAGTCCAGCATAATTGGGTTTCAGATCTTCTAAAGATTTTAAAATAATTACATCTAAATCTAAGTAAATGCCACCGTATTTCCATAGTGTAAGGTATCTAAAAGAAACATTAAATAAAATGGTGCAAATTATTATTTTACAAATGTTCACAAAAGTTAGCTGCTTTATTTCAAGCCACACAAAAATGTTGAAGGAATTAAATTTATCAACAACTGAAGAGTTCCATAGAAAACGCTGCCAAAGAAGCTTCGAGGGACCAAGAAAAAAGAAGGAAGACAAAACACTCATAATGGTAGCCAAATGAACTAAAACAACTACTAGTGGAAAAGAAAAAGGCATACGAAAGGCTACAGATAAAAAATTTATTCTAACTCAACTAGGTTTCTTTAACGTTCATTTCTATTGATTGCACTTTAAGATGCTCTTTTATTACCTCATTTCGAATCATATCCATTCTGGTTATACTCAGTACTCTTCTTAAGGATCTCACCTGAATGCTTTGTAGCCGTTCATCTTTCACTTCAAACTTTCACTTTCAAACTTCAAAAAGTGCTCGAAGCTGCGTAATATATTGGGTGGGTTAAAGGATACAATGGGAATAAAGGCAACCGCATTTCTGATCAACTAGCTAAGAACGGGGTACGACTAAGACTCTTAGGATCTGGTGATATTTTTGGTTGTTCAACAATCACGGTAATCACGGAAAGAAGAATGTAACGGGATTTAATTAAATATCCAGAAATCAGATCTAAGTAACCAATTCAGTTTAAAAATTTAAAATCCTTTTAATAATATTAATAGTTGCTTATTGCTCAATGCGATTGTTTGTTTATGACATTCAAAGTATTGGTGTAAATAGAACACGCTTATTAAGACGCTCACCTAGTGAAATTTGCAATGTAATCAAAAGCTTATTTAATATTGTGTACAAATTATATTAGTAAACCACTAATGTATAAAGAAACGCATATTAAGAATTAAGAGTTAACAGTCGAAGCTAGTGTTGTCATCCGTCAACTGGGTAGTCTCTCTATTATTGTACTTAGAGAACCAATAAAGTAATTATGGGTATCCAGTGAGTAACCCCATGCTGGGGGTAAATACCCCTAGAGTTCCACTATATGGAACTCCTGATGGAAGCAATATAATAAACATTGTACGATTATTGAACATTATTATAAGGACAAGGATCTGGACTTGCCAGGGTACTAATAAGCACCACAAATTGACAGGGTTGTTTGTACTACTTATTCCTTTTTTGGTTGTAATCGATAATTTTTTATAGCGACTTTGGTTAAAATTTAAATCTCTCTGACCATTAATTTGTAACACTTTATCAAGTACTTTTTCTTGTAGCTCTTGAAAAAATAAATGTAAATACATTTGAAAGCTTCAGTAATAAAAAATAGTCTTTTAATAGCCTTAAATAAATGAGTTTTATTTATGTCTACTTCTGAACATACTACATGTTTTATCTACATACATCATTCATAACTGCACATACATCAATACTGATAACATAGACCAAAAATGGGAGAATATTAAACATGCCGTAATGTTGGCAGGGAGAGAAAACTTAACACCGAAAGAAAGGAAACATAAAGAATGGATGAATGAGGAAATACTACAGTTGATGCGTGAAAGAAGGGTACACAAAACAAATAATCCGATAAGATACAAAGAAACAGATAAACTGATAAAAAAGAAAATAAGAGAAGCTAGAGAAAGATGGCTAAGTGAGCAATGCTAGGAGTTAGAACAATTGGAGCGAAAATATGACTTTATTAATGTACACAAAAAGATTAAAGAAATGACAGGAAGGAGAATAAGAACACAGACAGGACAGATCAAAGATACAGATGGTATAATTATAACAGATTTACAACAAAAAATGAACCGATGGACAGAATACATATCACAACTGTTTGATGACAAAGATAGACAAGAAATCTCAAACGGATATACAGATGATACAGGGCCTGATATAATCAGAGAAGAAATAGAATATGCAATTAAACAAGCAAAAAGTGGTAAGGCCTCCTGATGAAATTCCCGTAGAACTGCTCAAACTTATGGACGATGAATCTATTAAAATACTCCTAGTTCTATTTAACACAATATATAGAACTGGAATAATACCTAGGGAATGGCTCCGCTCGACCTTTATACTACTGCCAAAAAAGGCAAATACAAAGGAATGCAACGAATATCGTACGATAGCTTTGATGAGTCATGCTCTAAAACTGTTCTTAAAAATAATCCATAATAGGATCTATAGGAAATTAGACGTAGACATCAGTAACACTCAGATGGGATTCAGAAAAGGACTGGGTACAAGGGAGGCTCTGTTTGCAATGAACGTTCTCTCACAGAGATGCTTAGACATGAACCAAGAAATTTACGCCTGCTTTATTGATTTCGAAAAGGCCTTTGACAAAGTACAACATGAACCACTAAGACAAGTTCTAATAAAGAAAAATATAGACAGCCGAGATATTCGAATTATATGCAATCTATATTGGAATCAAACAGCAAATGTCAAGGTTGAGGGCAGACTAACAGAAGAAATTCAAATCCGTCGAGGAGTCCGGCAGGGATGTATCTTATCGCCACTTTTATTTAATCTGTATACTGAAGCTATCTGTGAACAAGCACTCGAGGAAGAAGATCTTGGTCTGATAATAAATGGTGAGACGATCAACAATATAAGGTATGCTGACGATACAGTTCTCCTAACGGGAACGCTAGTAGAACTACAACATCCCGTTCAAAGTCTCAATATATATAGGTAAAGAAATAATAAATCAGACTTACTCACAATCAATTTAATTTAACTATCCGACGACCGGTTTCGCTTTCTACAATATGCAAAGCATTTTCAGGTCTCGGTACAAAGTTAAACAAATGATGCCGGTACTCTATTAATAGATGGATGGTAGAACATGTTTGAAACTACTGTATATTGTTGAATGGAGAACTCAATACTATTATTGCAGTTGTTTGACAGTAAACGGGAAGTTCTTGAGGAGGTAGATTTGATCCAATGAATTTGAGATGTGTGTGAGATTGTTTGTTAAATGTAAGTTGTGAAATATATTATTGTGTTATTAAAAGTTATTTATACTTATTCCAGAGATATATTTTTGAAATGTGTGTTATTTAAATTGTTTTATGAAGGTGACATTTATGACAATGAATAAGTGTTGATGTAAAATTGTGTGGGTGTGCAATTATTTCCAAACTTGTAGTTATCAAATTACTTTGATAAAGTTCTATTGGCAATGTGTTAATTATTGGAATGGTCAAGAGAATAAAATGGTAAAAAAAAATGGTAAAATACAAACACTTAAGGATAATTTAAACACACTAAAAACAGAAAACACTTAGAAGGGACGAAACAAACATTGAATTTAAAAGGGGAAGGACTTTAAAGTACTACATCATAGTCTTTGGCACAAAGACTATGATGTAGTACTTTAAAGTCCTTCCCCTTTTAAATTCAATGTTTGTTTCGTCCCTTCTAAGTGTTTTCTGTTTTTAGTGTGTTTAAATTATCCTTAAGTGTTTGTATTTTACCATTTTTTTTTACCATTTTATTCTCTTGACCATTCCAATAATTAACACATTGCCAATAGAACTTTATCAAAGTAATTTGATAACTACAAGTTTGGAAATAATTGCACACCCACACAATTTTACATCAACACTTATTCATTGTCATAAATGTCACCTTCATAAAACAATTTAAATAACACACATTTCAAAAATATATCTCTGGAATAAGTATAAATAACTTTTAATAACACAATAATATATTACACAACTTACATTTAACAAACAATCTCACACACATCTCAAATTCATTGGATCAAATCTACCTCCTCAAGAACTTCCCGTTTACTGTCAAACAACTGCAATAATAGTATTGAGTTCTCCATTCAACAATATACAGTAGTTTCAAACATGTTCTACCATCCATCTATTAATAGAGTACCGGCATCATTTGTTTAACTTTGTACCGAGACCTGAAAATGCTTTGCATATTGTAGAAAGCGAAACCGGTCGTCGGATAGTTAAATTAAATTGATTGTGAGTAAGTCTGATTTATTATTTCTTTACCTATTTGAAATGGACTCACACAAGCAACAAATTCATGATCTCAATATATACTGTAACAGTTATGGCTTGAAAATTAATTTGAAAAAAACTAAATTTATGGTAATCACGAAATCAAAGAACATCAGAGCTAATCTTGTAATAGACAATACAACGATTGAGCGTGTGCCCTGTTATAAAGATCTAGGTGCTTGGATCACAGACGATACTGATCAAACAAAAGAGATTAGACGTAGAATAGAAATTGCTAGATCAGTCTTTAATAGAATGCGCAAACTCTTTTGCAATCGTGATATCAATATAAAGTTGCGAATACGAATGCTGCGGTGTTATGTCTTTTCTACAATGTTATATGGAGTTGAGGCTTGGACACTAAAACATCGAAGCTTTCGAGATGTGGTGCTATAGGCGCATTCTCAGAATATCATGGATGGACCGCGTCACTAACACGCAAGTACTCCAAACTTTAGACAAAAGATGCGAAATTCTAAATGAGATAAAAACTAGAAAGATGGAATACTTGGGGCACATTGTGAGAGGTGAAAAGTACGAACTTTTAAGAAACATCATGCAGGGCAAAAGAAGTGTGGGAAGAAGAAAAATATCGTGGCTTCGTAATCTACGTGAATGGTTCGGGTGTAGTTCGATTGAACTTTTTAGGCGCGCTGCTAACAAAGTCGCAGTGGCCATGGTGATTTCCAATCTCCGCTAGGAGAAGTGGCACGAGAAGAAGAATCATTCATACTATTACTTACCTAAGTACATCGCTAGCGTGACTAGTCACATATTTGGATTTTTCTATCCGACCAGATTTATACAATGCTTCTACGGGCGTACCATTCGTATATTTCTCATAGTCTAAACGCATAATTTTAATATTTTTATAAGACATTAAAGCTTTAAGAATCTCATCTGATTCATCTCCTTCAAATCTGAACACACCTGGTGACGTATAAAGTAGGTAAACATCAAAATTCGGATTTTCCTTCGCCGCACTCTCAACAGCACATGCCTGTCGTGCTGTGATGAAGATTTTCTCTTTGGATGCTGAGTTACACGAAGTTTCGTGGAAAAATATTGATTTTCCTTTTCTGGGTTGTACCGTTGAAATATCAGGGAGGGAGGCCATCCCTTTGAGACGGTAGCAGATGATGTTACCTGATGTTATATATGACGGTTGGTACATAAGTTTCAATAGTATTACCATCAGGCCTGCTACAGCAAAATATCTCCAATACTTCGTCCATTTTGTAATAAACATTTAGATAGTAACTGTTTTTACTAAGTAATTTGGGCCAAATGGAAGTTCAATCTGAAAATAGAAATAAAAATTGCTTATTTAAATATTCTACATTTTACTATTCTTAATATTCAACATTTTTAATATTGAGTGATTTACGCATACGAGCATAATCGTCCAGAGAAATAAGACGAAGTAGATATTATTTTAATAGAAATAAGCCACAATATTGAAGGTTAACATACGTTTATTGACGTTTCAATTTCCACTTCGAAAATCGTTCTCAAAATACAAACATTAAAAAATTAAACAAATTTTGTGTTTTGTTACTTAGTAAAAAATTCTTTTAATAATTTAATTGTATCTTACTTATCTATATTGATAATTCAGACATATATTATACATTTTAAAGTAGACGTCTTTAAAATGATATTGCCAATATGCTGAGTTGCGTTCCTGAGACGACTTTATTGCAACATAGTTCATTCGATTACATAAAGTCAACTTTAACTTGAGAATATCCGTCAAAAAAAATATAGCATCTAATTCGTCTTTAAAAAACAACCGCATGCCATGATGACAGTAATATTCTCCTGTTAGTTATTCCATAGTAAATCATAAGGAAAAAACCACGAAAAAAACCTCATAATACTATCCCGACATTGTAAGTATTTGTTCGTGAATTTAGTTTACCTTCAACAAACATCAAAATTCTGATTTTATATGTTACGTTATTTAAAAACATAAATGATGTATCCTCTATATGTTACTGACTTACTAATACTGGTATTTTTCTTTTATTAACTTGATCTTTTAATATGGGTAACCAGATCCTACTGCATTCTGCCGAGGAATTTGCGACACAATTGGTATCATTTAGCATAATTAGAGCCGCTTTTTTCATTTTTATCTTCTTTCTAAGTTTTCTTTAGGACCATACTTGAATCATTCTATTTAACCCTATGTTCACTTTTCCATGCGTGTTTACATATTTAAGATCTATCAAATTCTCTTTCTTTGTTCTTTATTGTTAATTTGTTAGGTCATTAGATAAAATAGATCTCAATGTGTTTGTTGTTTTGAATGTTGTTGAAATGTTGAATTTATATTTATTGAAGTTTTTCTGAAAATCTTTTTATTTATGGTATTGTTATTTTCCCCGTATTATTCCTTGTGTATGCTGTAGGATGTCGTTTTAAGTTGTTTTGTTCTATTCGGTCGATTTTTAAACATTCCTTATTAACTTCCTTATATTCTTATAAAGAATAATCATTTTTTAATAAATCAGATAATAACAAATGTTTTTCCTCCAAAAACGAATTTTCGTTAGAACAAACAATTTTGGCTCTATCGTATAAGGATTTAATGATTCCCTTTTTAATATTGATATTGCGATTTGCGTTGTAATTTAAATATAGGTATATTGGTGTGTGTTGGTTTTTTATACACCTGAGTCTCATATGCAGTGTCGTTTTTAGATATTAGCCGATATATAATATATCGGCTAATAATGAAGATAAACTAGAGCCCATTGCTAGACAAAAATTGTTTTTACAGAATTCATTATTTAGTTGAACATATTTATTATCATTACATAATGTCAATAACTTCATTATAGTTAATATATTAGTATTGTTCTAGTTGCCAATGTATCCTCACTCTTTAATTTTATCCTGACTGTATTTAAAGTCTTATCTAATGACACATTTGTAAGTAAACTATTTATGTCAAAACTTACTAAAATATTATTTAAATTAAATTCAATATTTGATCATTTATTTAAATTTTTTTTTTTTTAGAAATGTGTCATTTTTATTTGCAAATGTTTGTATAATATTTAATAAAAATTTTGACAGTTCACTACAAGGAGAATTCATGGTATTACAAATAGGTCAAGTCGTATATTCGTTTTATGATTTTTCGGTACTCCATAAAAATGAGATGTCTAACTGAAACGAGGTGTAATTAATCTTCTTTTATAAATTATTAAATAATCTTCGAACTGAAATAAAGTTATATATTCTGTTTTCGAAAGGCTTTGCTGGATACTTTGTTAATCTTGTATAACACACTACTTTTTCTGGATGTTTTAATCTCTAAGAACGATACTGGATATGAGACTCACGTGTATAGAAAACCAACACTCCAATAGATATTTAAATTACAAATCAAATCACAATATTAATATTAAAAAGGGAATCATTAAATCCTTATACGATCGAGCCAAAATTGGGTGCAATTTAATGATTTAAGTATAGTCCTAAAAAAAGTGATCTGGTTACCTATAAAAGGAAAATACCTGTATTAGTAAATCAGTAAAACATATCAAGGATACATCATTTATGTTTTTTAAATAACAACCAAATAAAATCAGATCATAGATCATAAAATCGAATCATGTCAAAAGAACGGAAGTGTATTATATTATTCCGGTAACAACACAGAAGACCCGCATCGCAAAAATGGTGTAGGTATATTAGTAACGTCAGAACTGAGTAAATATGTGACCAATTTCGTACCAGTCTCGGATAGAATAATATTACTCCAAATAAATACTCAACCATTTAAAATTTACTTAAAACTACATCATCATCATCAATCAGCCCTGAGTTGTCCATTGTTGAACATAGGCCTCCTCTAGATTTTTCCATCTGCTTCTGTTCTGCGCCTCTGCTATCCAATACGTCACGATTCTTTTGAGGTCGTCGGTCCATCGCGTTGGGGGTCTTCCTTGGCTTCGCTTGTCAGCCCGTGGTCTCCACTCAAGCAATTTTTTTGTCCAGCTGTCGTCTTTCATTCTTGCAACATGTCCTGCCCATCTCCATTTTTGCCTTGTAATATGTTTGATAATGTCTTCCACTCCGGTTCGTCTACGAACTTCATCGTTTCTTATTCTATTTCTAAAACTACATACTATCAGATAATTCTGATATGGCACGCGAAGAAGAAGAATAAAATCAGAATTTGTTGTTTATTGAGAGTGAGCCAAATGTAGTGAGAGTGAGCCAAACTTACCATGTCGGGATAGTATTATGAAGTTTTTTTCCTGGTTTTGGCATGAGGTTGTCTTTTTAAAGACGAATCACATACTATGATTTTTTTCTGATGGATATTCTCAAGTTGAAGTTGACTTCATAGAATCAAATGAACCATCTTACAATAAAGTCGTCCCAGGAACACAATTCAAATATATTGACAATATAATTTTTAAATTATCTATAAATGTGTGAGATAAAATTAAATTATTAGAAAAATATTTACCAAGTAACAAAAAGAAAATGTGTTTAATTTATTAAAGTTTTGTATTTTAATCGTCAAATTAACTTATTTTTTAAAGTAAAATTGTAGTTTATTTCTAATAAAAATAGTAAAATGCATTAAGATACCATAAGAATATAGCTTCAAAAAAATATTATAAAAAACGTATAGAACACGAACACAAATGCATTCGCTAGATTATTTATGAAATCAATGTTTTTTTTATTTATTATGAATTTATTAGTAATCCAAGCATTCCAATAATTTGGCAAACTCTGATTTTTGATAGTGAGGGATTGGTTCTATTGTATTTATAATGTTTTTGCTTTAAACAATTCTAAGAAAGATAACTGCAATCTTTTGCCATAAAAACTGTGGTTGATACATTCAAGTATCAATACGAAGAATCTTTGAATGTATTTCTGGAAGTATATATTAGAAGCCGAATGGGCCGTGGGTGTAGAGAGTTAGACAAGACATATGTAAAGAGGATTATTATTAAAATATCCCAAGCTAAAAATTACGAGACAATGCCAAGAAAACCTTCTCTGCGTGAGGATAAAGGCAAATACATTGATCATAGTTATTCGACAATAGAAATATTAGATGACAATCATTTACTTTGATTAACATATAATTTGATTAAATTAGCATATAAACACATACATTTTTATTTAAGAAAATTGCAAGTACTTACAAAGGTAACATTAGGTATAACACGTGTTTTCACTACGGTGGTAAATATTTTACTGATTTTACTTGACGTTTGAATATCTGTGTAAATGGGATAGATAAGAAGCAGGAATTGTGATAAGATAAAAATTTCATTAGCTTGGACAATACAACAGAAAATTTTATTACCGCAATAAATCAACAAATAGGGTTATTAAGGCACTCATTTATTTTTTTTATTCGGTTTAATGTTTTAAATTACAAAATTTTAATTTAGTGAAAAAAAATTATCCGAAAAACATAAAATCAAACAATAATCAAGAAAACATTCGTCAGACAATAATGAATGGTAAACCGATTACGTTTAGATTTGGAAATTAGATACTTACAAGGTGATTATGCTGTACAAATCTCCTATCTGATCCAAAATCGATTAAGTATCGACTGCTTATTCATCTGCCAGTAAAAAACAATAAAGCCATTCGTTCCGTACAGTACATTCAACCAATTTACACCTCTAAATGATTAACGAAATTCGCAGAAATCTTACGTTATAGTAAAAGTCACAAAAGGTTGTAGGTATAAAATAAATATTGTGTCATTAACCCTTTGTTCATAGTTTTGCATATTTTGTTACATTTTTTTTAATAAATAGTATTCTTGCATAATGTTATTTAACGTAAATTTCTTTCACTTATTTGTTTAATAATTTTTTTCTGAAACAAATACTACCGCGCTAACGATAATTAACACCTTAAGGTTGATCTGCACCCCCCAAAAAATAAACTACAAATTCAAAAAATTTGAAAAAAAATTGAGAAGGTATATGTGACAATTAAAAGTATTTTGACAAAGTTTGAACAAACTTCATGTTTTCGTTTTCGAAAAAACTCTAAAAAACTACTTTTTTCCAAGTATAAAGCGGGAAAACCAGACATACAATTTTGATAATTTTTTTTACAGCATAAAGATATAACCCTAAGAAATACTTATGAATTTTTTGAAAATTTTTGAATTTACAGTTTTGTCACTACGGGAAAAAATGTTATGTTCCGGCTTATAATAAAGCTACCGGTAAGAAACCGGAAAAAAATTTAATAACAACATATATAAAACTGTAAAAGTGGAATATATTTGCAATA